ATGGTAAACTTTAAATTTATGATTAAATGCAACAAAATAAGCTTAAAATGTGAAAGATAATTGTCCTGTCCTGAGCTGTTGGCTTTAAGTAACTGAGCAATTTGGATAGCACAGTATTAATGTGTGAAAATAAGCTGTGTAGTGATTATAGTGTTTCTTTTGAGGGAGGTCTTCTGAGACCAGGGTCACAGACAGGTGGAACGGTTCATTCCCCCTCCAGTGACCACTACAGCTGCTTTAAAGTCGGCAATGACCATAAACTAAATCTGTCATAATGCATATTGGCTACTCACTAGAAACTCAGTGAGTAAAACTTAGTTTTACTTTTAATAATATTTCTGTATTTATTTCAGATTTAGTCAGTCATAGACTTAGTTCTTGTCAGTGTTTAAAAGAGGATGTGTTAAAACTCTGTTTAGTCAAAGTTAAACATGAAATATCAAAGGTAACTACAACTGGCCCTTCAAGGGCCACCATAACGCTCAGGTGGCCCTCGGTGAAAATGAGTTTGACACCCCTGGTATAGAATTTATATGCCTGAGAAACATAATATTACCCCTTTAAACATTCAGACTGAGACTAATCCTAAAAGTTAACACATTAATCCCTAACCCATTTGTCATGTTGGTGCATTCTGTATTTATTTGTTACATTATAACCATTTTCCTCATGTCCTCTCATGTCTTTCCTCTTAATGCACACATAAAAATGAAGGATGTTAGCCCGGTTTGGCAAGTATGGAAAAATATGAACTTTCCCCTCTTTTTTTCACACTTTGACACTCACAAGCACCTGCATCTTTATCCRCTCACTCGTGATAACGTGAACTGGTTTTGGTCCTAACTCTGCATTTTGTGCTGCAGGACTGGAGACATATCTTGGTTGATTGACAAAGGCGCTCACTGATCTAAAGTTGGATGGACTCACTGGACACCTCAATATGGACACATTGGTGCTGAGAAACTGAGCAGCTATCATATTTTATTAACTCACTTTTATTGACACATCTGTCCATCTGAGACACCTTTAACCATGTGGACCACCGGCTTCGTTTTGTTGCTGAGAGACACGTCAACGTGACAAATGGACCCAAACTCGACGTGACTCGCTGAGCAGGCAGCTGGTGACGTTTAACAAAGCAATATGGTTTCCAGCCTTTGTGCTGCTCCAAGTTGTATCTACATGTAACTTTTGTTAATAAGAAGCCATGGATGGGCATTGGCATTATTTTGTACCAATAACATTGTAAATACTTATAATCCTGAATGCACTGTAACAGCTTAAGAGCATTTTGCGGGGCAGGAGRTGTGTGCTTGTATACAGGCCTTACAGCTGCATGATATAACTTATTGTAATAGTAATAAAAAAAAAAACCAGAAAGATTTGAACTGGAACACCTTCAAATCTGCAAAGAAAAAAAAAAAAAAGCAAAAGTCACTTCAGCAAAACCCTGAATGCAGCTAAAACAGTCACTAACACCTGCTACAGCTTTAATCTGGGAATAATTGACAGAACTACAAMATACCTCCTTGTATTAGTTGCCTTGCTAGAAAGATGCATAAATTATTTTAATTATACTAATCACATGCTTGTGCAATAGATTAACGCTGTCTTTTTTATTTATCTCAGAGCAATAACTCCTGTAGATGACTGCAAAAGTAGCCTGAGGATGTTTTATCTCCATATAGGGAAATCATTTGTTACTAACTCAGGGAACTGAGGTCTGTGGCCTGAGCTTACTGCTCCTTTTACACTCGTTGTTGCTTTAATATTGACTCCTGTAATTTCACAGCTTCTCTTGTTTTCATTCAGCAACGCTTTGTAATGCGCTCTGAGCTACAAAGCAGGTGTTTGATTACATCCTGGAGGACTGAAAATCTGATCAGCTTTTGATTTCTGACCCTCAAGTCAAAAGAGTAAATAAAAAAAAGTGTTCTTCATACAAAGAGGACAAAATTTCAAACTAAACTTTGGAAATAAAAGTGATCCAACAAAAACAAAGCATCACATTAAGTTACTTTTTTATTTTTAGTTCGTTTCATCTTTTGTGTTTAAGTCAGCAAATATATAAGGTTTAATTGCTTTAATATAAATTAATTCTTTAAATCAAAGCAGCAGCCAATATTTAGGAGAAAAAAAATCCTAGCATCAACAAACCATTTAAAGCTGAGGAAAAACAGGGCTGCAGCCATTTTAGTACAACCTTGAAAAAAACGCTACAAGAAGTCACACTCAGATTGTGTTGTGGAGGACACTCTGCTACTACCACCTCAAATATTAGCTCAAAATCTGTAAAACTGACTCAATTATTGCTATTTTTTAACTTATTTTCTAACCTTAATGTCAGTTGGCTGTGGCAGCCATCTTGAATCAGGATGACTATAATTAGATGAACGACAAATGATCACTTTCTGCAAGTTTTATTACAAATTTAGTGGTTCAGAAGATATTTTGGTAACAAACAGGCACACGAACACACAAACAGACAAAAAGCTTTGTCGTCTGCCTTCACCTGGTGGCAGTGGGAGATACAAACAGTGCCAAAAAAAACAAAAAAAAACCCTGATGAATTCAAGGTGATATTGCAAACGGCCCAAAGAGGTTGTTGGATATGAGTTTAAAAATTGAAGCAGTCATTTTTCTTTAACAATTTCAATAAAAGAGACAGAATCTTCCCGCTTTGTCACATTTTTTATGAAGTCAACTAAAAAAAAGCACCTCAACAGTTAATTTTTTGCAGCTAATAAATATTTGTACTTCTATTAACACTGGAGTGAAGGCATTATCAGGTGTTAACAGGTAAATTCAGTGCTCTGTAATTCTGAGGTTCACRTTAGTGCAGCGACTTCACTCATAACCATATGTTGTTATCAAAATATTTTATGACACTAATCATCATRTTGTAAATGTATATGTCAAAACAAAAATTTACCAGTGAGATGGGTTTTTGGAAGAAGTGGAGAACTTTAGCCCTGAGCTTCACTGACATAATGTCCCAGATGTTTTCAGCAGCGGTTAAACAGCTCTAAGCAAACAAACACATTCAGGTAACATTTTAGTCAGGGTGGGGCTGGAAGCTGGTAGGACACTTGAACATCACAAAAATAGATTTGCTGGTAAATCAGAGTTCCAAAGAGAGAAAAGTTCTTCTGTAAACAGTTTTTCCCCTATAGGTACTTTTAACAAAAGCACTACAAAAAGTTTTTTTTATTTTTCTGTTTAAATCACATTAGGAAATTTGTTTTTGTCTAACGACTATGATCACAGCTTGTCCCGTGTGCGGTAAAAACAAGGCACTTATCAAAAACCAGCCGTTGAGATGAAAAAACTGAGGTGATTCAGAGGAAGAAAATCTGAACGTTTCATTGATTGTCTTACAAAGTTCTACTGATATCCACAGATTCCATTATAAATGCCAAATAACACATTCAGATGAAAGGTYTTGTGTGAAGAAATAAAAGAAATCCTGATATTGACCATCTCCTGCCTCCTCTGGGGTCAGAGGTCATACTCTGCTGCGCACTGCTGCAGGTACCACTCATACAGTTTAGCCTGTGGAGAAAAATGAGCCGTGTGAGACTCTTTGTTTTCTTGTGTGCTGTTTTTTATTGTGTTACCACAGATTAATTTAAAAAAAAACTATGTACTATGTATATTTAAACCAGAAAAAAAAGGTCCTAAGCAAAGCGTTAGGTCATTAATGGCACAACAGTGAGGCTTACATTTAAACACGATGAACTGAAACACTAACAGATCTGAGGAGAACTGTGTCACATGTGTGGAAACATAAAATGGTGGTTTTCAGTTACAACAAACTACACGAATAGAGGAACAAAACTAACCTTCTTAGGTTTGACAATATCGTGAATATAATCACTGTATTCTGCCATCTTCCTCTTCTCCTTTTTTGTCAGGGTTTTATTTCCTCGGCTAGAAAAAAACAAACAAACACTAAGAATTATGATTGATCTCTGTGTGCTTTTAAATAAAAGCTCACGTTCTCCAATAAAAAAAATAAAATAAAAACTTCTTCAATCATTTCTCTGAGAACAGAACAAACCTATTACAATAAGTGGGATGACTTCTGGGACGTCTTATTGTTTAGTTCCTGATGTTTTATTGCTTCAATAAGAAGACAGTCCTTTCTTTATTGCTGAAAATGTTGTAGCTTCTGTCTCTATAAGACTGGTTTAAGATGCTCCGATAACCGAAGCACTGTAAAGTTAAAACATTTTACAAACCACCAATCAGGAAAAAGTTCCTAATCGTTAAACGTTTTAGTGTTTTTTGTGTTTTACATCAGTTTAAAATAATTTTTGGTTTATAAGTTTTTACTTCGGTGTTAATAAAGTTTGTTGAGTTTGCTGAATGTTTCCAGATGTTTTGTAGACCAGTTATCAAAGATTTGTTGAATCTGGCTGTAATCTTTGTTTTACTTTAAGGCTGGACTCATTTTTATGAACAATCAGTGATTTAAATAGTCATGTCTTGAAAGTACTATACAAACTATCGTTTTTCTTTTTTTTTTAACACATTTGTATTTGAGAGGTATTTTTTTAGATCTGCAACACTTACCTTGCAAAATACTTGGCCAGGAAAAGCAGGAGATAGCAAAAAGCCCCAAAAGTGATCACAAAGACCACTTGTCCATCTTCAGGGATCCACTCCCATAAATACATCACTATCCCCTGAAACAGATTGAATAAACTCAGGTATTTGTCAGCTGTTATTTTCCCCACCAGTTCTTGCCATGATCGAGATTTTCTAGACTTACAGTAAAAACTGTGACAGTCCGAGTAGGACCTTCACCAAACAGCTCATCCAGCTGCTCTTTGGAGAAAGTGTTTACGATGAAACTCAGGATGAAGAGGAAAGGAAGGAAAAGGCCCAAAGCGCCACACAGAACTGAGTGCAGACGGACACTTTTGTTGTACGACACATCAGCCCTGCGTGCGAAATCAATAACGCAGTTAAAGACACTTACTGCAGCTGATTCTTAAAGCACAACTTGTCCGATTCGGTTAGCAATAATCTGAGCGTGATAACATTTATCAGTATGGTGTGAAAAAAGTCCAACCTGTCCTGTTCCAGTCTGCTGCTGATGGTGGAACAAATCAGGTCGCTGTCTTTTTCCAGCTGATCCAAAGTCTTCTGAACTGCCTGGTTGATGGTCTTCTCAATGGTCTGACAAACACCATCAATCTGGTTCACGCACCTGCTTGGCTAGAAAAAAAAACACAAACAAACAAATAAATGCATCAGCAAAAGCTCAACAAGAGGAAGGATGCAAACTTTCATGAAAAAACCCTGAGGCCGTTTTGACCGACAGCTTTGTGCACTGAGCAGGAAATGAAGCTGTACTTGCTCAGCAAAAAATAAACTAGAATTCTGAAGGGAAGCACAAATAAACTACGCGGTGCAGGGCTTTACGGCTGTAGATCACAAGGAGACGCAGCGATAACTCAGGACTCGGGCTGCAATTCTTAATGGCAACCCGATGGAGTCTGTGGTTTATAATCCTTGTGCCTCTCAAACACTCAATAACTCTGAAACATTTGAAAACTAAAAAGTTTTAAAGTTTAATCAGCGGATGTTCATTTGACCTGTTAGCAAAGCTTCAACTCCAGATGGTTCATGAGGAAAACATTAATAAAAACAACACAGATATTAAAGCAGTAGTTCAGATCTTTTTAAGTAGGATTCTGTGAAAAATAATAAACAATGAATACTTTAACTGTCGTAGATACATCTTTAAATAATTTAAGTTCTAATCAGACTGATGAGTCTGGTCAAGGTCARAATATAAGTGAACTTCTACTCTCTTAAAACAACTGAAGTCTGAAATATTTCATAGCAGTTTATGCAAATGCTGTTTATTAACCTTTACCCCATGTCAGTTTCACATTAAGTGGTTATTTGCATATAATTGTATGGTTATTTGCAAGTTACGGCTACTAGCCAACTTTAGCACTACCAGCGCAGCCAGCTGCAGTTGCAGCAGGAACGTCATCTTCCTGACAGAATGACTGTGTAATCTAAAACTACCAGCCAGGCAAAGCTTTCTAAAATAGTGTTCACTGTTGCTTAAAGGTGTCCACAGCAGGGTTATTATAGTTAACTAAAACTAACTAAATAATTAAAACTAAAATTGAAAAAACATTTTAGTTAACTGAAATAAATAAAAACTGTAATAAAATGAAAAAACGATAACTAAAACTGTGTAATCCTTTTAGAATATCCTCAGTTTTAGTGTTTGTCAGTTTATTTTGAGCCATGTAGGTCTTTTTTTTAATTGAGTAGTTTCATATCAGCTGTGGTCTGTTGCAACACTTGTTTACAGTCTGCTGCTAAATGATGACAAAAGTTGGGAGAAAACAACAACGTCCACTTTAGGATTTCTTTGAATATGACTGAGAAAAATAAATCAAGTGTCTTGTAGGGGTGTAAGAAAATATCGACACACTGAAATATCGCGATATTTCATTTCCCGATACTGTATCGATATTCTAAATCTCTGTATCGATTTTTAATTAAGGTTTAAAATGTCAACTTCCCTGCCAGCCGTTCATTTTTATGTTGTAGTTCAGCCTCTGACAGCTTCTGTTGGCAGCAGTGAGCCAGAC